CAATTTTAATAATTGTATTAATATTGTTAAAATGATCTTAACTTTATTGAAAAAAAATAGCTAGTTTCTGTAAAGTTGTCAAGGTTCACAACAACCCCAATACCCACATTTGGTACCATTTTCTTACTCGGATTCTTTATTAGTCCCTTTCTTACTTCTAGCCAGCAACCTGGAAGGGTCAATTTGCCCAGGCTTTAGGTGCCTGAAGGACATCTTCCTCTTGGTCCATACTTTTAAAGCATATGCCCTTTTTCTCCGTTGTGACAGAACCCAGTGGTTTGGCTGGTGTGTCCTTTGCCATTAGGACCTGGTCGCTCAGTTCTCTGATTTCAGGCCCTGGTTCAAATTCAGCCCTTATGCAGTACTGTTATAAATCACTGCTACTTCTTAACTTGGGACTTCCTAAATAAGTTTTTAGTTATTCTGGTTCCTTGGATTTATTGCACCAAAGCTCCTATAAGTAATACTAATTGTATTTGTATAACTTTTTCATATACTTATAGTTTTTGAAATACAATTTATCCAATCTTTATATCACAAAGTTTGTCAAAGCATTTAAAAATACTTGTTAAGTATTTGCCAAAATGCTTATTGGGCATAGAGTATGTTGGGGTGTAATTATAAGCACTTATTATTTAAAGTACTTAAAAAATGTGCTTATTTAATATTGCTGTTTAGTGGGTACAGTGTTGTGTTTGGTTCAACTTTCTGATATAGTAAATAATTATAAAATTAACTATAAAGTAAATTAAAAAATAGATATATTAAATTTGGTTTAAATTATTTATTTTATTTTATAATTCTAAAAGCCAACATAGTTTAAAAGAAATGCAAGATATACTAGCAAATTTAATTGTTAATATTTCAAATTTTGCTCTAATAATATTTAGTAGTTCTAATAGAATATAAAATTACAATCCTCTTATATAATAAAATAAAAGGTTTACTATATTGATTAAAAGATTTACTATAGTCAACTCTCCCTAAGTGCAAGTCAATAGGTTAGCAAAATATTTTGTATTTAATTGATGATCTGCCAGTCATCTAGTGTATGATCATAGTGTAACGCAATGCAGATCACTATATAAATTATATAAGCAGGAAATGTGGAGATTTTTTGACAATTATTCAAATAAAACTTTTTTTTGTGAGATATCGCTAAAAAATGATTGCCCGACTATATAAAATCTCTATGTAAACAAACTATTGTTTATATAGAGATTTTATATAGTCAGCCAATCGTTTTTTAGCAATATCTCGCAAACCACTGGGCTGATTTTGATGATTTAACTACCATTAGATGTGTCTACAACTTTTAATTAATCGACCTTGCTGATTAACTTAGTACGAAAAAAAGTTTTATTTGAATAATTGTCAAAAAATCTCCACATTTCCTGCTTATATAATTTATATAGTAATCTGCATCATGTTACACTATGATCATGCACCAGGTGACTGGCGAATCATCAATTAAAGAGAACTTGCACTTAAAGAAAACTAAATTAATATATAATTAATTTTCTCTAAATGCAATTTTATAATTTAAAAAAAATATCCTGTTAATTAAATAAGTCAATCTAATTGGTTAATAAAATAACTTGCAATTAGAAAAAATAATTATATATATGCTGGCTAAAAAATCTTGTATGTAATCAAAACAGACGCCTAAAAGAAAAAGATCTGCACAACTTTTTCCTGTACACATTCGGCAGGAATACCAAGTGATAAAAAAAACTTTTTCAAATCATGTCCAGTAAGCACCAAGACCCTCATACCAAAGAAGAGAAGTCTCTCTCACTTTACACTTCTAAAAACAACTTGCAAGAAACTCAAAATGACAGATCCAGTTAAGAAACTGTCATCAGTGAGGCAAAGGTCAAAGAACAAAATAACAAAGCTAACCTTCTCCTGCTAGAGAAAGAGGCTTCAAATATCAACAAACAAGAAGAGTAGGAGAATCCTTGGGACCTCTCAATCATGTCTCTAAAACAAAACAAACTACATGATAATGAAGAACCCGGTTGTAGCAGGTTCCTCACATGACTATTATGCAAACACAGGGCTCCAACTATTGGAAAATAACCCATATAGACAATCGGAAAATTTCTTTTCACCCGAACTCTAGATAATGCAAAACTGCAACCTTCTGCTCCAAAACAATGGGCAAACCTCTTCCCTAAACTTACTAAAGGACAGGCCACATACTCAAATTACTCTCCATGAGAACAAATTAAGTCTAAGAATGATAATGCACTTATCATTGACATATCACAATTGCTGCAATCAAGCAACACCTTAAGAAAGGCGCATATTTACAATTGGAAATTGTATTTACAAGCTTTGGTTTACTCAAAGAATATGCAACAAAGGGTTACATCCCAACAGTTAAAATTAGAAACGTTCTATTAGCTGTTAGGCAACAAAAACCAAGTTTCAATACTTATCAACTTTACAGAAACTAGCTATTTTTTTTCAATGGAGTTAAGATCATCTTAATGATATTAATAAATTTTTTAATAATTATAAGATTATTTTACAATAAATTTTTAGTGTAAAAATTTTAAAATTGTTCTAAAATTATTTTAAGACTTATTTAATATTATTATAAAATTATTATAAAATTATTATAAGATTATAGAGAATTTCTATTTGTCACAGGTATAAAAAAACCAACTAATATTTCAAAATTTTGATTAAGAAACTATCTTTTGGCTTCTAACAAAAAAATTTCCTTGTGAAATTTTGGTATAAACTACTTTCACCCCAATCCCAAACTTACCTTACCCTAATTATAAGCAAGAGTTTAATTTTCTTTCGTAAAAATTGGTTTGATTGGCATGTTACACAAGGTTGTAAATCAATAAATGTATAAACACTACGTGTAAATTAATAAATTTTCAAAATTATAATAAGATTATTATATAATAATTATAAAATAATTTTAAAATTATTATTTTTTTTTAATTTCTCCAAACTGTCTAAAGCAGTCGGAATGCTGGTGGCGTTTTTATTAAGGTCTTATACATATTACAGTGAATTTAAGTTATATATTAAGTACTACGTACATCACCACCAATGGTGGTGTTCCCCAGCCCTTAATACCACGTGTTTGGTAAGTCTACCTTAGTAGCCCGGGTCTCTGATCCCGTGGTGTAGGGCCTCTGTTCTGAGGCCCACAGTTCCCATCTTCAACACGGCCTCATCATTCACTTTTCCTATTTTTGTGACTTTCATTTTCCTTTTTCATCTCCTGTGTTTTCCAGTTTCGGCTTGTCCAACCTACTCCCACAGCCAGTTTTGGGGTCCAGACCTACTCCCGTATACTTTTTGTATTCACCGGTACTTCCTCTCATGGTTGCACCACTTGAGCCTACTCAGGGTCTGTCCAGTTAGAAGGGCAGGAACAAGCAGGTTCTTTCTTTTATTAGCTTGGTGCTACACGCCTTGATTCCTATTCGGTTTTTAAGCCGTAGTCCTAATTCGGAGGTTTCTCATGTTAACGACTTTCTTTATGTCAGATTTCTTTTCTTTTCTGGATGCTGCATGACTCTATGTGGCTATGTCCACAGCTCGTGACCTAAACATGGTTCTGGCTGAGAAAGATCCCCCTATGGGTTTCAAACTCGCAACCTTGCATTTTGAGACCTGGGAGCGCTAACCACTGTGCTACCGACCCACAGGTCTATAAAATTATTTTAAAATAATATATCATAAAAATTATTATAAAATCAGTATAAGGTTACTATAAGATAATTATAAAATAATTTTAAAATAATTTTAAAATAATTATATAGTAAAATTATTATAAAATTATTATAAAATTATTATAAGGTACAATTTTAATAATTGTATTAATATCATTAAGATGATCTTAACTTTATTGAAAAAAAATAGCCTTTGAGAACATTGGAAAAATCAATTTTATTAAACCTAGAGTGGTTGGCAAGGCCACTTAAAATATTGCCTGCTATGGCAAGGTTTTAATAGCTTGCTAATATAAGAGGCGAGTAATTGTGAAAATGGCAAGCTTTTTATACTTGATTATTGTATAGTGTTTTTAATATCGGATTAAAATTCAAGTATAGAAGTTTTATTAGAGTTAAAGTTAACAAGATATTATCAAAATTATTATATTAGATTAAAATAATTATATACTTTAACATAGAATTTTAGCTTAATGACCTGTGGGTCAATAGTATAGTGGTTGTGCTCCCAGGTCAGCATCCTCAAGGTCACCGGTTCAAATCCATGTGGTGGATAAAAAGGAATTTGTGCCTGGACCAAGGCTGCATCTTAGCCACAAATAATCTTGAAGGTTACACGAATAAGGCTATACAAAAAAAATTGCCAAAAATGGCTTATAGATCAGTTCTAGTGAAATCCCCTGGTAGTATATGGGTCTCTGGTTAAACCCGGTGGTATAAATAAATAAATAAATAAGGATCATATCCAGTTAAAATCCCCGGTTGAGAATGGGTCTCTGGCAAAACCTGGTGTTACAAGATTAAATCCAGTAAAATCCCCTGGTCACAGATAGGGTTTCTGATAAAGGAAATAGTCTAGCTATTGGCAGTGTTTGAAGAAGGAAAAAGACTTGAGTGGCCACTCGCAGGACGCACCTGGAGTACTGGGAAGTAAGGATAACATGAGCCTCAAGTTGAGTTATCCGAATAAGGAAGGCTCAGGCAGGGAAGGGGTCACCTTTGGGTTGGGGGATTCCCATTGGGATTTATCCCAATTGCAGAGATGGCAACCATACCATATGGTAAGCTAAGAGGTGGAATAAAGGAGGTCCCTTGAAGTGTAGAGTACAGAGTAAAGTAGTACAAATAGCTAGATTGGGCTAAATATAAAATTATCAATGTAATAGATATAGTTAAATGTAACAATGTATAAGATATTAATAAAATAGGAGGCCATTTCGCCAAAAAAAAAAAAAAAAAAAATTTAGCTTAAAGGTAGAGTGTACGTAAATCATTTATTATATGATATGCGTTGTCAATCTTTTTGTGTAATAGTTTATATAGTAAATATGACTCTGATTGGGTAATTACTTGTTTTAGTAATAATTTTACTATTTGTTTCTTTGTGTAACCCTGGCAAATTTGAGAACCCCCAGCAAACTTTACGCTATATGTATGTACATTTTTTTAAAATAATATAACCCCTGAAAATTTTACTACTATAAATAGAAGGTTTAATCTATATATTACAAAATTTTGGTAAAGATTGACAGTTAGTGGTGTATTTTAATTTATGCATAAAATTCCATTTACAACCAAAATCATATGATAAATGATCAATGTACACTCTACCCTTAATCTAATAAATTCAGTATTAAAAATTAGATTAAATACAAATTTCAATTTGATATATATATAACATATATTCTACTATATATATGAATATTTATATTAATTTTAAAGTATTATGTTAATTTTAAATATGTGATTTGTTTTTTCTAATAATATTATATAATAGAAAATGTATATTTTTTAAATTTTGTATTAATATCAAACTATAATCCAAAAAAAATAATAAATAAAATTTATAACATTTTTTTAACTATTGCAAAGTAAGCATTATTATAACATAAAATTAAACAAATTAATTTTTGGATATTCAACAAATTAAAATTTACATTAGATCAACTAGGTTTATTAGACTTCCATATTATATAAAATAGGTTTTAATAGTATTATAAAGTATATATACATACATATATATTATCATCTTGCCAAATCATTTTTCTTTGCCTGCTATATAGTGTTCCAAATTGTTAAAATTTTACCAACTGGTTAGTTGCCAACTATAGTTGGCAACTAACCGGTTACATATATCATGTGATATTTTTAGATATTAGCCAATCAAATCCAAGAAATCATTCCAAATTATCCCAAATAAGCAATTGTCAACTATTTGGTTTTCCAACTAATGATTTGGAACACTACTGCCATACCTTGCCATTGTTGCCTTGCCAAAATGGTAAGTAGTTGCCAGCTTGCCAACCACTCTAATTAAACCTCTTCTGATTGAAGGAACCTCTTACTTAATAGATCAGTGGATCATTGTTTTTAAAACTACAGAGAATCCAGATTTAGAAAAGAACCTCCCTTGTTTTACCTACATTGGAGAACAATAAAGTTATTACAGAATAGAGGGCAGCCTCCAGTATTTGTTTTTTCTGTGATCAATAAGGTCATGTTAAGAAAGAATGCAAGCAGCTTCAAGAATCTCTCAATCTAAGTTATAAACAACCTTCGAAGTACAACATGGGTCCTCTTAATATGGAATCCTTAATACTGAACCCAGATAAGGACAAGGCAATAAGAAAGGAATCATTTTCAGAATTGATTGAAAACGACTCTGATATGAAAGAGAATGAGATCGCTATTACCTCTCTCGAAAACAACAATCACATCCTCTCTGCTGGAGGAAAATAATAATACTAAAGAGAAAGAAATATTGATGGACAAGGAATTTGACAATCACCAGCTCCAAATGCCTTAAAACCTCAGGATTAGACTGCTCCAAGAGATGAACTTACAGTAAATAATCCTGTTCAAGCCTTTAAAGATCAAGCAAAAGTCAACAAACCTTATGATACTCAGCCAGGAGAAGTTGATAAAGATGGTTTTACACTAGTGATGAATAAGAAAAAACAAAAAAAGATCAATAATAACAAAACTAGACAGGCTATTTTAAGACTTCTCTTTACAAAAGAGCAAAGGGATGACACATCTCTCTACTTAACTAAAATATCACTCTTTCTTCATAACAGTAAACAAAAAAGTTTACATAGCAACCCTTAATATAAAGGGGCTTAACAATTAGGGAAAACAACGAAAAACTTTAACTTTACTTAAATCTTACTTGGAAAACCAAAGTACAAAAGACTTTCTTAAAAAACAATAGCTTTTTGATTCGATTTGGGCTGACAAAACTGCTATATTAGCAAGCAAGAAAGAAATTAAGTTACAGGATCCTCAGACATCCCATAGGGGAAGGATCATATCTACAAAAAAATTGCTTACAAGGATTAAAGAATCACCTGTTTCATGTCACTAATGCATATGCCTCTCCAAATAACAAAGACAGAAGTGAATTCTTTGAGAGATGGAGTCTATTCTGAGATGAAAAATCGATAAATATACTTGGTGGAGACTTTGATGTCAATACAGATCCTGAGACAAACTGAAGATTCAACATGCTTACAACTCAAAAACCTTACAAATAAATTCATCTCTCGATTTTTTCAGAATACATGAAATAATCAAACTATAGCAACTAGACTAGATTATATTTTCATCGATGAAAACTTTGTTTCACTAGTGAAAAAAACAGAAACCTTATTTAGCAATTCAGATTATCTATTAGTCAAATGCATCTTAAATCTGAATGATAAACTTAAGACTCCAACATTTTGGAGATTCAAGAAGAAGTGTTTTAAGAATAAACTTATAGAAAAAGAGGTTATAGCAGAAATTAATTCATTTAATTCTGTAACAGATTAGGACTGGCAAAAAATTTGCATTTAATCGATTATAAGGGCCTTCAGGAAACCCAGGGCGAAAGATGACCAAATCAAAGCAGATAGATGGCAGATGTGCTCTAAAGCAAGTTGGGTTGAGTAGGGGGAAAAGTCAACAAGATACTTCTTCTCAAGATTCAAATCCCACACAAACTCTTCTGCATTCAAGAACATCAAGAATCATGAGAACCCATCTCAGATCAACAATGACCAAATCCTACAGTATATTAAAAAGCAATACGCAAAGCTTTACAAAGAAGAAAGGATTAATCTAGATGTGGCAACAACCCTGACAAATGGTCTTCCTACTATCCCTTCCTCAGAGAATAAAGAACTCTCTTGGGTGATCACAAAAGAAGAAATAATTGAGACTATTAAAAAACTTCCAAACAATAAATTTCCAGGGCTAGACAGTCTTACATATGAGTTTTACAAACAAACTGAAAATGACATTGTTCCAGTCTTAGAAACAATTTATAATCAGGTCCTCCAATCAGGGTCTTTGTCTAACACATAGTATAAAAACTTAATTACACTTATACCAAAGAAAACAACAGATTTGAATAACATAGATAACTGGAGACCTATTTCTCTGGTGAACTATGATGCTAAGATCTTTATGAAAATTATAGCCACTAGATTAAATAAAATCTGTAACTTGGTAATTCTGGCACACCAACAGGGTTTTGTCTCAAAGAGATCAATTACAGACACAGCACTGGATATGATTACAGTAATAAGGAATCAAACTAATCTTACTAAGCAACATTGGCTGCTCTTAGTAGACCAGCTGACTGTGTGAATCATACCTTCCTACAACTAGTCCTTGAAAAGATAAACATTGATCTGAAATTTAGAAATTTGGTGAGAACCTATTCACCAACCAAGAGGCCCATATATTTGAATCAGGCATACTTTCAGAGCCATTTAGAGTTAGAAGAGGGGTTAGACAAGAGGACCTCCTCTCACCATTACTATACATCCTGGTCTTCAAGCCCCTACTCCAGGCTATTGATAGAGACATTCAAGATATACCTTCCTACAATCAGACATTCAAATCTATAGCCTATGCAGATGATCTTATAATAGGGGTTGGGAGCTCACTGGCTGGAGATATATAAACTGTTTGACCTATATGAAAAAGCCTCAAGTCAAGAATTAACAACCAGAAAACACAAATTATTCCACTAACAATCTTTACAGAAACTAGCTATTTTTTTCAATGGAGTTAAGATTATCTTAACAATATTAATATAATTATTATTATTATTATTTTTTATTAATATGTTATAGTAAAAACTTTATTACAGTCAGTCCGAAGATTGAAAATTATCTTATAGTTTACAAATCCAGGTAAGGGGACAGATAAGCTATTTATTTATAACCTGGCTGCCAAAACCCTTCAACTTGA